ACCCTTTTAAACAAGGAAGTGGCAGCTCTGCCCCTATTCTTACTGATAGATCTGCTGGTTTCTGAGCTGCTTCTGGAATGGTTCCTTCCGTTTCCTGGAGGACAACAGATGTTCACAACTGTGCGGTGCAGAAAGCAATATGGCCTTTTGTTCTGGATTCCTGAGAGCTGACCAGACAGTGCTTACTACGTTTCTCAAGGCATGATGTAATCTCTCATGGCCACCTGGCAAGCTGATAAAAGCCCTCTGTACTGAGAATCACATGGAGCTTCCTGGTTGTTATGAGTGAGCATCTGCTTGTAGGAGTCTATGTGTCCCCTTAGGATATGAAAGTTTCATGCCCACTGGGACCCCTCCCAGACCTTGCCCTATGCCTCTCTGCACTTGTAACCTTTTGTTGTTGTTGTTGTTGCTCTATTACGACTGTTACCAGAGGTATGGTTTTTCCTATGAGTATTGTGAGTCATTTCAGTGAATTTTAGGACCTGAAGGGGAGTAGTCAAGGTTGGCTGGTCTGAAGTGGAGGGAATCATGTGGCCTCTTGAGCTTTCAACTGGTACCCTGAGGTGGGTAGAGAAAAATCTCAAATTTAGGACCAGCCAGTCCAAAGTAGACACCCAAGCATATAGCCAGTACTCACTGACCTAGCCCTGGAGGGCTAGGGATGCCAGGGAGAGAAGGGCTGAACTGAACAGGGACAGAAGGTTCCTATAGAGTCAGATCTCATTAACATAACGAATACGTATTTCCAAATTGGTTTACATCTACAAGTACAGGGATTAGGGCTCTAATACATATTTTGGGGGACACATTTAATCTATAACCTATCTTTTTTATCATAAATGTGAGGAAAAGATCTCCTCTGTTGATTATTTTCTACTCTTTCTAGTTTTAATGGAAGAAAAGGTACCTTTTTAAGAAACATAATCTTACCTACCAATGAAGTCTACAAAGTACCTCCCTCTTCCTGAGCTCTGCACTCCTTTACTGAGCGTGGCACCTTTTATCTCCAACCTCAGATGCACCTCTTCCTTGTTCTCTTTCCTGTTTGCCTATGGGACCTCACTTTTTTGGAAGAGTTATTCACACATTTAAAATGTGATTTTAAGTCTCAGGTTCTTTCTCTTAGAGATAGCTCAGTTTAATCATGGAAAAACCATTTGGGATTTGAAGTCAGAACACTAGAGATATTGGCTGGTTGCTTGGTGCTGTGCCATGGAGTCAATTCTGACTCATAGTGACCCTGTAAAGGGCTTCCATGGCTGTAAATCTTTATGGGAGCAGAAAGCCTCATCTTTCTACCAAGGAGTGGTTGGTAGAATCGAACTGCTGACCTTGAGGTTAGCAGCCCAACTCATAACCCACTAGACTACAGGGGCTCCTTAACGAATATGTGTAACCTTTGCCATTTATCCCCTCATTAAAAGACTGAAAGGACTTAATTTCTCAAGCCATCAGTTTCTTCATCTGTTAAATGGGATTATAAATCTGCTCATGTGTGGAAGAATTAGATAAACAAAGTACTGTACAAAAACAGTGATAGTGTGCTAATAGTGTATTGAAAGAGATTTCAGTTATCGGTGCAAAGGGGCACATATTTTTGGTTCCAGGAAGGATCTTTCTGGTACAGCTAAGTTACCCACATATGCCAATTGCGTATCCTCCTCTGGAGTCCAGAGTTACATCCTGTTCCCCTCACAGATTCACATGCTCTAGGAAAGGAGCAAAGCAGCAGCAGGAAGGCAAGGCGAAAAAAATAAGAACATCTTTTGATCTCTTAAAAATTTCAAAGGGGTTCTTGAGGGAATTGAGAAAATCATTTAGTCCCATAAGACACAATTTGTTCCCACCACCAAATTAAAACTCCACTTTATTTTCTCTTCCTATAAAGTTAAGCTGTAAAGTTTATGTGACTCCCAGTCTTTTCTAGCCAGCCTTCCCTGTGGCTCTGTGTCTAGACTGGGTTAGGATTATTCCATTATTCATATGGGGCCTACTTAAGCAGGACAATCCCACAGGAGTGGGAAGCATAGTTTGTGCTTTAGAAAGCCCTCTTTGGTCACTTTCTCCTTTAATTATTTATACTTGGGAAATGCATGTAGTTCTGTGTCTCCAAAGAACTACAAATATTTCTCATTTGACATGAACATCCCGCCACACAATAACTGTGGATCTTCCCTGAAGAGCAATGTAAATGGGACAGCTTTTTGTTGGTCCTAGAAATGGAGAGAGAAGGGCTTGAGGGGCACACTCTAGAGGACCTCAGGCTAAGGAAGATGCTGCCTGTCTCTTTAAAGAGCTCTACACCAGTAGGGCAGAACTGTGTAAACTGGGGAAAGGACTGGCTGGAACTGGGCGAGGAGGCCATTAAATATTAGCATTAACTAGTCATTGGCCCAAAAGTAAGTGGCTTAAAAAGCAGTTTTCTGAAAGATAATACATTCATATGATATAAAGTTTAAAGAATAGGAAAGACACACAATGAAAATCTTCCCTGCCAATGGTTCCCATCCCCAAAGATGACCAGTGTGTGGGAGTCCAGCTTTTGCAGGATTGTGAGACTTGAGAGGAGACGTGGAATCGGCGAAAGTGAAAGTAGTCGAGGAGTCTCCGCTTAGTTGGCTGATGGAGCTCTCATTTTGCCCCAGCTCAGCAAGTCTTTATACTTAAAATTACACAATGCATAATGATTTGATACCTTGATTTTTCCCTTGAATTATTACACATTTTTAATCATAGCATTCTTTCACCCTGTGATTATAAAACCTTAACAAAAGGATTTCTATGATGTCCCACCTGACCTTTCAAACATCCTGTTCATTTTCTAACCATTAAGCATTTTCCTTCTGACATCATCTCCTCTTCTACGTAAGTGATAGATTGTTCTTTCCCATTCCCACTAAAAGATCAAGTTAAACCTTAAACAAATCATTTCCACCTCCCAGACCCCTGATTACATCCTCTTACTATAATACAAGTTTGTATCAATCATCATAGCCTACACTGCTTTATTGTTTCTACTAGCTAATTATCAATCTTCTATCCTACATAAGGTACTACTATTTTCTATAGTAAAAGCATTACTAACATCTATTTAATTATTTTGTTTTTCTAAAGTATTCATTAAATCACTTAACTACAGTGTTCCTATGTTTCTTTCTTTTGGGGCCGTGAGGCATGTTAAAGGGCCCAACCTGGTTAATTGCTGCAGGAAAGGTAGATTATTAAATTTTGACCACCTTTTATTTATGTTTGCCATTCTCTGCCCAATTACGTAGGTTCCTGTGTATGGTAGTGGGGGGTTTGTGGATTCTGGGCCAGTAATTGACTTAGGTGAGGTCTATAGGGGTCGGTCAGCTTCACTTTAGTTCTTTATCTGCTTTTGTGATCTCATAAATGCAGCTGCTTTGTGCTCAGGTTTTCTGTGAGAGGGAATAGGTCATACAATTCCCTTTGAATTTAATCCAATGAAGCTGAAACAATTGTTGCAAGACTGGTTTCTCCTAAACTCTACAGAACTCATAGTAAAAGCCATGAATATGGCAGTACAATATATCCCTACAAGCGAAATCAGAACCATGCTAGAAAGGAGTGCCTTTCTAAAGAATCATCTACTTTGCTGATGTTTTCTCCTTTTGCCGGGACTGTGTCAAATGGCAGAAGCAGAATGGCTCCCAGCACCAATATTTCTAGATTCCTACAGGACCTTTTGGAGATACTCTCAGCATATGCCAGCAGGTAGATACTCATGCACTTTCTTTCTTCTCTCTTTTGAAGAGCACTGTGGTCCAGAGGAATCCCAGGTACTCACCATTTAGCAGGTGTACCATGTATCTGGAGTCCTGGGGTGGCGCTGTGGGTTAATGCGCCAGACTGCAAAACCATTTGAACTGCAAGGTAGGCAGTTCAAGCTCACCAGCTGCTCCTTGGAAACCTTATACAGGGTCGCTATGGGTCAGAATCGACTCGACGGCACTTAATAACAACAACAACGCCATATATGTGAGGAATATACACACAGAAGCCATTTGGGTCAAGGAATTTGTGCATTGGTGGTTTTGTTAGATCTTGCCACAGTGCCTCCCCAGAGTTGTATTTCCTAGGGGGCCTTTGAAAATTCATACATGGTGTAGCTAGAACAGAAAGTCTGAGTTGGGTCTGGGACAGGCCAGCTGGAGGGGCTGTCTTTAAACTGTGCCTTTTGCCATGGCTAGAAGAGCGTTCGAGGTCACAGGTAGGGTAACCCCTATACACAAGGACCTGTGGCTGGCAGGGGGCAGCCTATCTATATGTCCTCACAGGCACTCAGTCTTTGCAGCCTGAAATGCCACCCGCCCTCCCTGTTGTCCCTCTTGCCAGGACGCCTGTGCCAACTGAGTGCAGTGCTCCTCTCTCAAGAGAACAGAGATGAGGCCTTCAGTGTCCGGCAGTGGTGGGGGCAGGTACAAGCATACCACCACAGTACCAGCCTGTGGGGCTGCTGGGAGGAATCAGAGTATGTGCCTGCCTGCTGGACCTTTGTCCTGTAGAGCTGTGGAGGACATGCCACCCCACCCTCTGGGTCTGCAGCTGGCCAGGTCCTGGCTCTGCAAACAACACACAAAGCACCAGCAGCGGCTCCTGGTCCCCAGCAGAGCCCTTTGACAGGCCCAGGCGCCTTCTCCCACAACTTGGCTGGCATCACTGTGAAGCTGGAGCCTGGCCCCGAGAGCAGCCTGAGTTGGGCCAGATGCCTCCTGATGGTCCTCTCCGCTTTCCCAGCCCCCTGTTCTGAGAACTGGGCTTCTCAGATCGGATCGGTTCCACCCTTTCCCCACTCACCTCCAGTCCCACCATAGAGCAGGGGGGAGACTTCAGTTTTTTGCTTTCAAAATAGTTTATAAGTTTACTGTTAGGGCCTTTTGTGTTCTAAGTTTTGAGTCCTACCAAAAAAAAAACAACAACAACAACTTTCTAGCTCTTCTACCTTCTAACAACACTCTGGTATTTTGTCTTCCCAGCCTCAGGCCTCTCCTCTTCTCCATCGACACCCACCCAGGTGACCAAGCAGCACTCATTTCCTCTGGAATCCTATAAACATGAACCTGAGCGATTAGAAAACCGCATCTATACCTCCTCTTCCCCTCCGGATATAGGCCAGAGATTCTGCCAGCCTTCCTTTCAGAGTTCAGCCAAACCTCACCCAGCATCAACAACACACGCTGCTGCCTCCAGAATCGTAAGTTCTCCTTCCTTTCATCAGTATGGGTCAGCCAGGCATTTGGAGGAGGGGAGAACAGATGTTTTACCTCAGGTAAAGCTAAAGTTATACGCTCCTGACATTTGTAGTACCGTATTTTATCGTGAATCACAGGCTTAGAAAACTTCATGAAGGCATGGAAGGCAAGTGGAAGTCTAATGAAAAATGGTAGCATCTGCTACATCTACGATATGACTAGAGGACTTTTTTCTCAGAAAATTTCTTGTCAGAAGTCCTCAGCTCCTTCTTAAAAATCAGTCAATAAAAATGCTATTTGAATTTGCTTTGATTGGGATACTAAACTGAAAAACCATAGGCAAAGCAAAAAACTAATAAACAGAAATTTTATTCTAGAGTTTGAAGATGTAAACTTTGACATCCATTTGACCACATATAGAAAGGCAGGGCTTTCGAAGCTGAAACGTTGTACTGGAGTATTGTTCAGAAGATTAGCTGAGATGGCCCAGGGAGTATTTATTAATGGAGGAAACTGGCTTATCAACAGCACTGTGGTACTCTGTTTCATCACCCGGGCCTCAGTGTGGCAGCCCCGTGTCTCAGTGCCTGCCAAGTTCATATTAGTACAACAGGTGCCCAGTGTTATCCTGTGCTCAGCAAGGGTATAAGAGCCATATCATTGAAATCTACCTATACTGATATAATTACTTCATGCACTCATTGGCTTTTGAGAAAAAGAAGATGTGTTTATCATGAAGATAACATACTATGTCTATTCTCTTTGTTTATTCAATGATGATTTTATCAAATTTTGTTGTGGTTAATTGCCATTGAGTCAGTTCCGATTCATAGCAAACCTGTATAGGGTTTCCAAGGAACAGCTGGTGAGTTTGAACAGCCGACCTTGCTGTTCAAACTGACCTTACCATCAAGTGCATTATCGTGCAGAACCGCATGTCATGCTTAGTACAAAAAAAGTTCTAAAGTGCCAAGAGTTAAGCTGCAAGGTAATCTTTCTGTTTTGTGGAGCTTACAAGCTCATTGGAAGCAGAGTACTGTGACCTCACTTAAGGGACACTAGTGTGGAAGAAAACATTCTTTTGCTTTAGATCATTTGAAGTGATGGTGACACCCAGGCACAGTTTAACCATGATGGTGGCATGTCTCACAGCAGAGTTAGTGCTTGGGGACAAGTACATGCTTGTCCTCGTTTAAATAAAAGATCCTTGTCAGTGTTTCCCTTTAGCTGTGACTGAAGAGTGAAGTTCTCAGCTGTTGATAACCTCATACAACTATGACACCCTGAGCAAGGATAGGCCCTTCCAGGCTTTCTAAGGTGGGTCTAAGACCAGAGAGGCAGTGTCCTCAACCATTTCCCTTCCTCAGTTGTAATTTGAGTGTCTTCCAACCTGAGGAGTTCATCTTCGGACACTATATAACAGTGTTTCACTGCTATTAATAAGGTTTTCAGGGCTAATTCCTCAGAGGAGTTCTAGTGTGGCAATGTAGGATACACACTGGATCACATAGTTGGTTTGAACCTCAAGGTCAGTTCAAATTCACCAGCTGTTCCTCTGAAACCCTATAAAGGGTTGCTATGAGTCAAACTGACTAGACAGCACATAGCAAGAACAATCCTTCAGAAGAAGTGGGTTGCTTATTTCTTCTTCCTGGTTTGTTCTTAGTTCAGAAGCTCCGCTGAAACCTGTCCAACATGGGTAACTACAGGAATAATGTCTTTTCAAAAGATCAGTATGAGACTGGTCCCTATAAAGATATCCCAAATGTCTGACTCTTCCAGCATGTCATATGACTACATAATCTTTAATATCCGCCACCACTCTTTCCCACCCTTGTGTCTCAGGGTTCTGCAATATGCTGCAACATCTCACAAAACTCAACAAAAAAATGGCTCATGAAATTGTGGAGACTGGCAAGTCTCAAATCTGTAGTTCAGAAGTCAGTCTGGAGGATTCTCCTCACCCATGTAACCTCAGAAGCTGAGGAAGCCATCAAATTGACAGGTCAGATGCTCAAGACTGTGGGAGCTGGTGAATCAGGTCAGGTGATAGGCTGCAGCTCCCACGGACTTGAAGGTCAGACGTGATGAACCAGATGCAAGATCCACAGGAAGAGTGCTAACTGTATCAAAGCATTCCTCCATATTGGACTTGGACCATGCGTCCAAGGAAAACTAAGGGTGGTAACTTAAGTAACACTCTCTATTAAGGTGAGGTCATCTTTGTTGTTGTTAAGTGTTGTTGAGGTGGTTCTGACTCATAGCCACCCTGTGCAGGGTTTCTGAGAAGCAGCTGGTGAACCACCGACCTTGCAGTTCAAACCAACCTTGTGGTCCAGTACCTAGCCTACAAAGTCATACTAGTGTTCCTTAATCTCTGCCTCATTAACAAAATGGATCCATAAAAATGTAAAGGCAGACATTTTATAGCAAAAGGAGGGGAGTGGTTGACTTTGCAGTCCAGGAGCAGAGCGGTCCCTGGGACCATCAAGAGAGAAGAGCGGAGTATGGGACCCTACCCAGAGAAGCAGTAATGCCAGAGATGGAGGCAGAGTCGATGATGTGGAGAGATGGAGTGGCTGGAGACTCTAGACCCAGGGAGGGAGAGGGACTGTAAGCTGATGACCAGCAGGGGGCAGGTTTGCAGGGTGTATGTACCCTTTGGATTTTGATTAGACATGGAAGGGATTGTAATCATGGCAATGAAACGATTTACGATAGGATGAATGCAAGGCTAATGTTCTCCCATGTAAACTATCACATAATTCACAATAAAAACTTCCAAAAAAAAAAAAAAAATGGATCCATAATCACAAGGCTAGGATTTACAGTACATCACAGAATGAAGCAGGATGGCTAGAAAGGCCATCATAAAGAATTAGCTGTCCTGCAGTGACCCTACTAGTATTTGAAACACGAGTTGTATAGCTTCCAACATCACAGCACACACAAGCTACCACAGTATAACAAACTGACAGACATGGAGTGTTCTTTGCCCATAGACTCCTTCATTAGTACAACTTGAATCTTGAATTTTTTCCTCAGTGTCTTGTGCCTGTGATACCACAATGCCCTGCTAACAATGTGGTAACATGAGACTTCAGGAAGGATCCCTCCACAACTACCGTCATGTAGTTTGAGCTTTAAGAAATCAGGGCAGCCACCCATGGCCCCTGCTTCTGCTCTGAAATGTTGTGTTGTCAAGAACTGGAAAAGGACCTTTCCACTAGCTACTGGACACTGAACAGGCTCATAGTTTTACTTGCGAGTTCTACCATTGAAATGTCTCCCTTGTGCTCTTCATAGCTTCTGCAGCCAGTAAAGGTGGACTTTGCAGTTCATATAGAACATGTTACTGTATATTTAGACTATGCTGAGTATCTTTACATTATGTGCCAAGTTTCTGAAGAACTTGGCTGAATTCATTAATTTTATTGTCAGCATATTCTTTAAGGAGGAATGTGCATTATTTAAAGTATTTAGATATAATGAATCTTTGCCTTTTAGAATAAAAAGACATGTTTATAGAAATTGACTGTAAAGATCTTTTTTATAAAGTTCATTCCCATGAATTTTATTCTAAAATTGGAAAGAGGCTGGAGGTAATAATTATCTATGAATCTTTAGTAGACAGCATTCATTTTATCATTTACTTACTCAGCAAATCTGTACTAGGAAACTGCTATGTTCCAGAAGTCACAGGGTAATGCAAATGGCGAGTGTTCTCAACTGCTAACAGAAAGGGTGGAGGTTTGAGTCTACCCAGAGGCACTTCAAAAGAAGGGCATGACGATCTGCTTTCAAAAGTCAACCATTAAATAAAAAAGGAGTAACCCACTACAAGTAGATGATCTTGACCTATGCTTATGGATGCAGTATGACAAAGGAGTGGACAAATCTCTACAGTGAGGATCATTCCCACCCCCTTGGTACACAGGGTCGACAGGGATAGGAAACGTAGACATTGGCTACCTAAAATGGGGGACTACAAAGGCAAGAAGTGACTGGCTTACAAGCTTTCAATAGGGAACCTAGCTCCACAGGATACAAGGAAAGGTAGAATCTCCACTGAATTGTTTCCAGCCTGTCTGAATGGGGATGATAAAAGGTGAGGGGGAAAGGACTCCTGTGGTTCATTCAATAGGAAATGATTGCTATCAGGTCTAACAGTGAGTGTTGGAAAGGTTTGGTAACAAAAGGAGGAGAGTGGCTGATTTTGCAGTCCAGGAGCCATCAAGGGAGAAAAGTGAGACCCTGTCTAGGGAGGCAGTGACATTAGGGATGGAGGCAGAGAAGGTGAGTGGACAGAAGGAGTGGTTGGAGACTCTGGACTCAGGGAGGGAGAAAGGCTGTGTGCTGGCAACTGAAGGGCAGGCGTGTAGGGTGTACCCTTTGGTTGTTTGGTGATACATGCAGGGGACTGTGATCATTGTAATGAAACAAAATACGATAGGATAAATGTAAAGATAATGTTCACCCATGTAAACAAACACATAATTCACAATAAAAACATTAAAAAAAAAAAAAGTCAACCATTGAAAACTGCGTGGAGAACACACAGTTGCACTCACACTTAAAGTCAACTCAGTGGCAACTGGTGTATGTTTCAGAAACTGTGCTAGACATTAAAGGTAGGGTAAGAAACATATGAATATGGCTTATGAGGGCCTGGATGGTGCTGGTTCTATTCACCAACTGATTAACAGCCTAGGAGTCCTGATGTTGGGCTACAGGATAAGTACTAGACTGTTAACCACAAGGTCAATGCTTCAAACTCACCAACTGCCCCTCTGAAACCCTATACAGGGTCACTGTGAGTCAGAATCACCTTGATGGCACTTAACAATAGCCTTATGCACTGTGCAGGTTTCAGTGAAGCTTCCAGACTAACACAGACTGGGAATACGGATTTCACAATTTACTTTGGAAAAATTAGCCAGTGGACCCCTAGAGATAGCAATGGAATACTAGTGCCAAAATATGAGCCCTG